CCTGGGATCGAGCCCCACATCGGGCTCCCTGCTCCGCGGGAAGCCTGCTTCTCCCTCTCCCACTCCCCCTGCTTGTGTTCCTGCTCTCACTGTGTCTCTCTCTGTCAAATAAATAAATAAAATCTAAAAAAAATTAAATAAATAAAAAAATAAATAAAAGAAAGTGCTGCTTGGGAAATAGGAGTGTATAGTTGAATGTATTCGCTTAGCTGGAAAGTGACTATGTACATCTCAAGGGTCACTCACAGTTGAGTTATTTCGGGGCCTCCGAGGTGAGTAGGAGTGCAGTTAGGACACAGGAGTGTTGGTGATGGGTCCCGTTTGGGTTTGAGAGACGGTAGGGGATAGCACTTCAGTCAACTGCTAATATCACCTTTACCACCTCAGATGAGCACGCTTCAGCAGCTCAGCCCGTGTCTCAATTGCATTAGAGAAGTTTTTCCCTTATTGGGCTGGCATCAGTTGATTTCATATCTTCCCTGATATTTTTTACTTGGTCTTAACTTTGGACTATCCCGCCAGAGAGAACTGAAGTTTTTATTGTTCATATCACGGTATCTCTTTCCTCAAAGGTCTTAGGAGAGAGAGACAAACAGACAGTCAAAGTTCTTAGGAGAGAGACAGACAATCTACAGCCTTAGGAGGGAGAAACAGACAGACAACACATACAAGAGACACACACACACAGAGAATCTTGGTGTCCTTAACAAAGGGTGGGGTCAGATATGAGTGGTTTTTGTTTTTGTTTTTGTTTTTTTCAATCTAAGCTCTCTGTGCCTGGTTTTATTGTTTTGGGTAGTTGTATAATTCAGAAGATGAATCCCGAGTGAGTTGACTAGCACCTTGAAGGAAAAACAGTAAATTGTTTCTTTTTCTTTTAGAATGGACAGAAGATCATTCATCGCTTGTGCCTCCTGTTATTCCAAACCATCCTCCAAGCAATCCGGAGCCAGCCAGAGAAGCTCCACTTCAGGGTAAAGTGTTTTTATAATGGCTAGGTATTTAGCTCAAAAATTTAATTTTTTTTTTTTTTTAAGGACCTCGTAGCTCCCAAGTCATTCCTTTGATAGTGAAAACCATGAGGTCAGAAATTCTAAATGTATTGTTAATCAAACTTGTCGAGAAAATGGAAAACTTTTTTTGTGTAAATTTCTGCAGCCAATTGTAATGCTGTGGAAATGAAAATTAATTGCCGTTAGGGTTTCTCAGCCTCAGCACGGTTGACATTTTGGGCCAGATACTTCTTTGTCATGTATGGGGCCTGTGCTGTGCATTTTAAGATGTTTAGCAGCATCCTTGGCCAGTAGCATCCCTCCTCCTTGACAACTAAAAATGTCCCCAGTCATTGCCCAGTGCCCCTGGGGTGGGGGGTAGGGGGTAATCCCAGAGTAGTAAAGCACTGATTTAGAGACTACAGATATTTAGTATTGGGCTAAAATAAGATAAATCAAAAAGTCACCATGAGATATTTCAAGATCCTAGTCAACCTATTTGCTTTTGACTAAGATTTTCTTTTAGATATGAAATCATTTGATGTTATTCTAATCTAAATGCTCATCTGCTATTCTTGCTGTAGTTTGGCATTTATGCTTCTTTTACAGTGTTTCATTGGGTTCACTCATTTACATTCACAAATAGTAGGAGCCCTCCTAGAGAGGTTCATTTTTGAAAATTGGTATCTCCAGAATCTTGCTACTTTCAGGCCTCATTACTCTTAAATGATAGAGAAGATTTGGGAGGGGTTTTTTTTTGTTTGTTTGTTTATTTTTTTCTTTTAAATAAGAAAAATAGAACAAGCATTATATTTGTTAGAGTTGGGGAAGGTTTGTGGTACAGACCCATAAAAAGACTAAAGTTTGTCTTCATTCTCTGTGCATTTTTAAAGAGGTATCATTGTGTTAGATATGAAAAGATAAGTAGAAAAACTCTTTTCTCTAATTTTCATCCCTCCATTATTATTTTCATGAGAAAGAAGTTGTTTCCTTGCTAACCGATCATGTCAAGAGATTGGTAATTATACCAATTTATGTAAAATAATTTCTCCTGGCTTAGGTACACATTTTTATGATGCTAATGGTTTTAATAAAGATAGAACACAGCAGCTAATAACATTAATGGCAGCATGATTGTGGCCTCCTCGGCACTTTTTAAATATAAAATTCCTTTTGCCACCTCACGCTGTCTCCTTTCCCTGCCTGCCCGTGAAGAGTCCTGATCTAGCAGCCTGTGGTACTCTCGGGAAGAAGTCGTGTGGCGAACTTGGTTAGACTGTTGGGTATGAATTTTGCTGAGTTCACCACTCAGCGAAACTTTTCCTTTGATCAGGAGTGCATTTCCAATTCTAGCAAGTGATCATGTTCAAGAGAGTTGCTCTTAGGAAAACTCTCCAATTCCAGTTGGTGCTTAGAGAGAGATGTCTATAGCCATCCCTCCATTGCACCCACTCTACCACCACCATCTTCCAAAATAACAATGCCCGTTCATTGGGCTGTCGTTATTTACCGGGCACCCCACCCAGGCACTTTACCTATATTATCTGCCACGGGTATTCCTTACAAGTCTTCTAAATTGTGAGGTTGGTACCACCATTACCTCCATTTACGTGTGCAGCACTCAGGCAGAGAGCGCTAGTGATTTGCCTAAGGCCACACAGCCAGTGAGTAGCGGAGCGCCCGATCGGAATCCTCATTGTTATTAGGAACAGTTACACTTCTGGCTAAAACCTTTTGTGTTCGTTTGTTTTTTTGTCTTTTTGGGTGTGGGGGTATAACTCCCTACATAGTCTAAATCTGTGCCACCCAGTTACAGATGTCACTGGCTACATGTTGCCATTTAAATCCATTACAGTAAAAAAAAAAATGACACCTTTAGGGGCACCTTTGTGGCTCAGTTGGTTAAGCGAGTGCCTTTGGCACGGGTCATGATTCCAGGGTCCTGGGATCGAGTCCCGCATCGGGCTCCCTGCTCAGCAGAGAGCCTGCTTCTCCCTCTCCTACTCCCCCTGCTTGTGTGCTTGCTCTCTCTCTCTCTCTCTGTCAAATAAATAAATTTAAAAAATTAAAAATTAAAAAAATAAAAATTACAAATTTAGTTCCTCAGTTCCACTAGCCACATTTCAAGGGCTCAAGAGCTCCGCATGACTAGTGACTGCCGTATCGGACAGAGCACCTATGGAGTGTTGTCTTTATCACAGAACATGCTGCTGGACATCGCGGGTCCAGGGTATTCAAACACTGGTGCCCAGAACAGTGCCACCCTGGCTGGGAAGCCAGCTCCTAAGGGTTGTCCAAGAGCAGAATTTTAGGCCAAGACCCCAAAGATCCTGATTGAGTCTAGAATAGGACCTACACATGAGGACCTTTAAAAAAAAGAGCTGCTGAGGTGATTCTCATACATAACAAGATCGTACAACTGGCAACTGATCCGCAGACGAAGACCTCTGAGAAAATGACATATGTACCACAGGGATGCAGCAGAGAGCTCCAGACGCCACTGCTTGTGGGGGGAAGCTCTGCCCTCCCAAAGCTCCATTAACTGATGACCCACTCATACATAACACGTAATGAAATGTGCATGAATGTGAAACCCTGTGATCTTCCCTCCCTAGTTATGCATTGAAAAAGCAAGTCAGCGGTGTCATTTCAAAGCTCTGCTCGTGTCTCTATTAAGTTGAAAACATTCTAAGTTCAAAATATGCTAATGGCTTAAAAAAAAAATTCATTCAGTTAAGCTGCCAGGCACATTTTTTTCACATTTTCCAACTTAACCTATCATAAGGGCGAGAAGCTTAAACACCCCACCACCTCTTCCCGCCTTCTCAAAGACGCGTTACATCTCCTTTCTTTGTGCTGTTGTTCATTCATGCGTTGATTCAGCGCGAATGTTTGGAGCACGTGAAATGAATCAGGCAGTATTCTACTTGCGGGGTATACAAGCAGAAATCTTCTGGAGCAGTGCCCTTTGTGCACGGGGGTGGGCAAGAATGAGACATATCACCAGACCGATACGTATGATGTCTACTGTGTGGGATGGTGATAAATACTAAGGACAGAGATAAAGCAGGAAAGGGGGATGGGGAATGTTGGAGGAGGTATTAGAATGTTTAATAAGATGGCCAGAGGAAGTAAGCCTCACTGAGAAGGTGTGTCTGCATAACTAAGATGTGTTTCCCTGCACCCTCTCCGAACTCCCTAGCTGCCCCTGCCTTAAGGATGTAGGCTATTCACACACACCCCCGTCCTCAATTTTCCATCTGATAATTGCCAGGGCAGCTGTCTCCGTACAAGCCCCGAGTGCACTTGACACCACCTTCCTGATGTCTTGGCGGACACCCTTGCATGGTGAATGCTCCAAAGTCTTGCCTTTCTTTAGCCACAGTGACAGGGCTGTAGTTTGTCAAGCTCCCAACCAGCCTTGGGACTGCCCTAGCGAGGGGGAGGTTCGTGAACAGAACTATGACTCTGAGCAATTTAAAAGAGCCTTTTTAAGAGCCAGAAACTTTTGAAATATGCAATTAAAAATTGTACGTGGGCCCAGAGACCTTTTGAAAAAAGGCTTTTCGCTATAGCTAACCAAAAATAACTTTCTTTCCTGGGTGCCAGGCTCTGGTGCAGGGGTATATGGAGACTTTTTCTCCTGGGTGTTTTGTTTTTGTTTGGATAACACTTTTGATAGAGAAGAAATAGAGCAGATGGGGAGGCTATGGCAGGCAGAGAGCAGGACATAGGAAGTATAATTAGGAGAGTTTAAAAAGTCTAAACATGAAATTATGTCCACTGTTTGAGATATCCAGAGAAATTCTAGTAAGTTTCTCAGTTAGAAATGTTATTGTGCATATCATCGGGAAAACTCACTAAAACCTTAGGTAGCATGTTTGGAAGTTATTTAACTGTATAGCTGTTTATTTTAGATAAGACAACTGAATTTGGAGCTGTATGGCTGTAGTTAGTAACTAATTCATTTAGTTTAGATGTTTTGGATTTTTAAAAAAAATATTCTAAGCCACATGTCCTCAACCTTTTTAAACAATAAATTTTAGTAGTGGACATGTCTGGGCTATTCTGGGCTATTTTACAAATTGTTAAAGGATGAAAATTAATAGGAAAAATGTAAATTTAGAATTCAATTCAAAGTAATAACTCTTCTAATTTTGAAAGTAGTGATTCTACGTTTTTATCAAATTATTCTTTGTGACCATACGTTTCCTAGTATTTTCTATGTATTTTCAGAATGTGTTTTCTGTCTGATTAGAAACAAAAGTTTTTGCTGTATTGGTTTCACAAGTAGAAGCCATGCCCAAGTGGAAGTTGTACTGCAAAATAGAAACAATAGCAAAACAGAAGACACAAAGCAAACACCCACTTCATCTTTTGTGAATACTTTGTGGCAGCTCAATTGCTGTCAGACTACATGAACTGAAACCAAGTGTTTCAGATGATGGACACAGGTTCCATTTTTCTCCTCTGTTTTCCTTTGGATATTCATGCTGAAACACTCTGGGTACCATATCTCCCTTCTTAAATAAAGGGGTCTGGGATCTCCCTTATTACTGCCATCAAGAGAGGACTTTCCTAAGACACCTTAAGCACAGGAGCTCAGAGAGTTACCCATAAGTTGTGTCATTTCTTATTTAACTCATCTTTTCACTCATAGTGACATTCCTTATACTCTTCTTGTTTTCATGCAGGCAAACCCTTTTTTACACGAAACCCTTCTGAGTTGAAAGGCAAGTTCATTCACACGAAGCTGCGGAAAAGCAGCCGTGGCTTTGGCTTCACAGTCGTTGGAGGGGATGAACCTGACGAGTTTCTGCAGATCAAGAGCTTGGTCCTGGATGGTCCTGCCGCACTGGATGGCAAGATGGAAACAGGTAGAGATGCCACATGGCCCTCGCATTTCCTGTGTGATGAGACTGCCACCCCGCACCTGAACGAGAACAAACAGCATCATGATTGCATGGCTTTATAAATGGTTTTGAAAAACTCTGAGTCAGCAAGATTCCTCCACTACAGAAATGCATTCCCTGGTAGAGATACAGAACTTTGAAGCCACTTGAACTTTGGGGCACTGTTAGGGTGCTATCGAATATAGTAGAGCGGTAAATTTACTAAAAATTTAGGATCTGTCTGAATAGAAGAATTCTAAACTTCTTCTAAATTTTTTAGAAGAAATCACAATGTTCTTTCAATGATCATCAGATTCTCGTTAGCACGGAAGACACTAGATGCTACAAGAATGCCTTATTAGCAGTTAAAAGAAGTAATAGAAGCAGTCTCTTTGTGCCCTGTGATACCCGCCCCCCCAATCCAGTTTCAGTTCGGCTTCCTATTGGTAGGATCTCATAATGTTGATAGAACTTTTTTTGGCTACCTTTTTTTTTTAACCCCCAAACTCTTCTCTTTTGCAGGAGATGTCATTGTCAGCGTGAATGACACCTGTGTTTTGGGACATACGCATGCACAAGTTGTGAAAATCTTCCAGTCCATTCCCATTGGTGCCAGTGTGGATCTTGAACTCTGCCGAGGTTACCCGTTGCCTTTTGACCCAGATGACCCCAATACAAGTTTAGTGACCTCGGTGGCCATTTTGGATAAAGAACCAATTATTGTGAATGGGCAAGAGACTTATGATTCGCCAGCTAGTCACAGCAGTAAAACAGGCAAAGTCAATGGCACAAAGGATGCCAGGCCCAGCAGCCCTGCTGATGTGGCGTCAAATGGTTCCCATGGTTACCCCAATGACACTGTCTCTTTGGCTTCCTCCATAGCCACTCAGCCAGAACTCATAACTGTTCATATAGTCAAAGGGCCAATGGGCTTTGGCTTTACTATCGCAGACAGTCCTGGTGGTGGTGGCCAAAGAGTGAAACAGATTGTGGACAGTCCGAGGTGCCGCGGCCTGAAAGAAGGGGATCTGATAGTGGAAGTTAATAAGAAGAACGTGCAGGCTCTGACCCACAACCAGGTCGTGGATATGCTGATCGAATGTCCAAAGGGAAGTGAGGTCACGTTGTTGGTGCAACGAGGAGGTATGTAGGTTTCTTTTGTTCTATGATTTTTCTTTTTTTAACCCAGATTCTATTGTTTAATTTACCAGTCTTCAGGTGGCTTTTGTGGGCTTTGTAAATGTCTACTCTTTAAGATCATTTTTACTTAAATATTTGGAAATGTATTCGAAATGCCTTCTATTTCCGCCAAATGGTAGCCGGTACAGAATAAATATTGCGTTTATATATTACGCTATACATATGCAGTCAGAGTGATACTTTTAAATGTAAATCGCATTGTACTTTTAAAAAACCATTAATATTTTGAAATCTCTATACTTATCCTTCTGAACCTGGCCTGTGCAGTGTGCATGCAAAGTGTGGCTCTTGGCTACTCTTCCAACCTCATCTCATATCCTTTCCCCTCATCACTATGCTCTAGCCACCTGGCTTCTTTTCTGGAGTGGCTTTAGTGCTCCAAGCCCTGGCTGTCTCAGGGCCTTTGCACTTCCTGTTCCCTCTCCTTGGAATGCTCTTTCCTCAGCTATTCACTTGGCTGGCTCGATCTGATTCAAGTCTCCTCCTGTGAGAGGGCTTCTCTGATACTTATTTAAAGTAGTCCCCCGGGGCACCTGGGTGGCTCAGTCGTTAAGCGTCTGCCGTCAGCTCAGGTCATGATCCCAGGGTGCTGGGATCAAGCCCCGCATCAGGCTCCTTGCTCCTGGGGAGTCTCCTTCTCCCTCTCCCACTCCCCCTGCTTGTGTTCCCTCTCTTGCTGTGTCTCTCTCTGTCAAATAAATAAATAAAATCTTTAAAAAAATAAAAATAAA